AACTTACTAACTTTCCTGACCGGCTGTTACCTTGGCGTGCGGCAGTTATATTAAAATTAAAGGCAGTACTGTCCCGTCCGCGGCTAGTAGTTTTTCGATTAAAAATTCGGTTGTAATTATTATGTAGCTCGGTAGTAAACATTATGATGCTTGAGTCCAATGTGTGGGGTGAAAACAGCTTCCTCTTCATACACACGACGTGGATTCGCAATGATTTGCTTAAAATTCGCAAAACGAACAGGGCTGAACTTATTTTAAAAATTGCATATTCGTCCGTCATTAGTCTTCCCGCCATCTTGAAAACAAGATCTGCCCGACGTTTCGCCCGTTGTCTCCTTCCCACCTTCCTTTGCGCGCTTAAAGAGAGACGTCTGGGTACGAGGTAGAGAAAGTTAACTTTTGACGTAAGATGTACGAACATTTTAACGCCAAATGTGGCAAGTTTTAACGCAGAATGTAACATTTTTTTTAACGCGAAATGGAACAGTGCAAAAAGTGACAATTCAATTCTTAACCATCAAAAGAAACCCAGAACACGGGAGGAGTGGAGTCTAAAAGTGTGTTTGATCCTCGATGAGGCGATACATGTTAAGCCACTGTGTAAACTCAACGTGTCACATCCATACTCGCGGTGATTTTCAGGAAACTGGAAAACGGTGACGAAGACATTTTTAAACTGTTTTGACATAACACTCTTCTAAACTTCTCTTGGTGGCGGTTTACCTAGCTTCACCCAGCCTCCTTAGGGAATGGAGTGTGTTTACATGATACATGGGACGACTTTTGTATTGGGGTGAGCTCCCGCCGCGGTTCACTCTCTGTATTTCAGTATTTACATGATACCACCAGAAAATGTCATACAGGAACGAGTCATACCGGCGCGAATTCGGCCTGGTTGCTGTACCGGAGACGAACAAGAATTTCATTCCGGTGAGAAATTTTGCAACAGAACAGACATACCTGAATTAAGTCAACCTAAGAACTCACTTACCAAATCCTGGAAATCACTTCCCTTTATTACTGTAAAAGCGGTCACCTCTACTAAGCAACCGCGGTCACTCTTTCCGAGGTCACAACGAGTTTTTATTTATTTATTTATTCGTTTATTTATTTTCTTCACCTCTACGGTCACTTGGTCTAGAACCAGCTTACCAGTAAGGAAATAGATACATTGTGCATGGCTTTTCAGTGGTCTGTTTTACTTACCTTCTTTGGGCACAAGAAGAGGTAGAGATACCTTGAGGTATTTGGATGTCACGCTTTGTCACCATCTATATTTTCTTGATTAACTCTTAGGTTTGTTTCGTCCCATGTAAAAGAATCCAGGACAGTCTTGGATTCTACATTCCACACTGTGGATTCCGGATTCCAGGTACTGGATTCCAGTGGATTCCGGATTCCTTGAGCTGTATTCCGGATTCCATAAGGAAAATCACCTCTAGGATTCCGGATTCGACAAGCAAAAAGTTCCCGGTTTCCGGAATCCGGAACAGTCTTGGATTCTGGATTCCACGCTGTGGATTCCCGATTCCACTGAGGTACTGGATTCCAGTATTTGTCAGTAGAACTTGGATTCTGGATTCCAATCGTGAACGGTATTCCTGATTCCAAAACTCAGGATTCCAGATTCCATAAGCAAAATCACCTCCAGGATTCCGGATACCACAAGCAATAAATTTCCGGATTCCCTTACATGGAGCGAAAAAAAAAACCGTCAACCTGTATTAAGCGGTCAGTTGACAATTCCCAAGGTTGCTGGAGCACGACCGCTTAGCCATCATAAGACTTCCACTTTCATCACCCGTATCAGGTGTTGTGTGTTACGGCCCTTAATGATAGCTTTGAATCCTATCCCAATGCAGTGGAATTTGGATCTGGCTGATCTATTTTCACTTCATCAAAAGCCAAATTTTTGCACCCTAGCTTAGTACTGTGTATTTGGGCTGATTTATGTTTATTTTACTAAGTTCAGAATTTCTGCATCTTCGCTCAGTGCGGTGGATTTTGGCTGATTTATATTCATTTTACCAAATTCAGAATTTCTGCATCTTATCTCAATTCTATTCCCATTTTATCAAACGCAGAATTCGTGCAATAAAGGAAATAGGAAATAGGACGTCTGCACATAGGCTACGAATCTTCGATCAAAGGTCAAAAGGAATTTCCGGCAAAAAAGAGAAACAGTATCAATCTATGTTTATCAACCCACGTTTTATTGATCCATGTTTTCTCAACCCGTGATTTATCAATCCATGTTTTATTAACCCATGTTTTATTAACCCGTGTTTTATTAATCCATGATTTATCAATCCATGTTTTATCAACCCATGATTTATCAATCCATGTTTTATTAATCCATATTTTACCAACCCATGATTTATCAGTCCATGTTTTATTAATCCATGTTTTATCAACCCATGTTTTATCAATCCATGTTTTATTAATCCATGATTTATCAATCCATGTTTTATTAATCCATGTTTCATTAACCCTCGGACGTACAAGGGTGGTGGGGGTGGTGGTTGGTTGCCACCCCCCTCTGAAGATTTTCTGTTTTTTTTTTCCCTAGACGATAAAACATCAGCATCTGAAGTTTTCAGTAGTTGCTTGTTTATCTCTCGCGCGAATTTTGAGATAAGTTTAGTGATGGTCAGTTAGTATGGTTACGCGATAGGACGTCATACGTAGCAGGTGGTCAAGCCATTTTTGAATGAAAATGCATGTTTTTTCAACCATTTTTGGTGACATCACAGGCCTCCAGCAGAGCCACCACCCATAAAATATACCTCATCTTGTTAAGAAGATCAAAGCTTTCCACTAAAGACAAAATCGTTTGGAAATACTGCAACTTATCAAAACCTCAGGGGAGGGGTTCTATCAACCCGACCTTGTACAACGGAGGGGTAAGGACTTTGCATGTTCGTCCAAGGGTTAATCCATGTTTTATAAATCTACGTTTTATCAATCCACGTCTTATTAATTGTTGACCAGCGTACACCACTACTGACATTGATTGCACAACAACGGAGCAAAAAATCAAGTTTATCTAAAGTACGATTTTATCGGAACTGAAACAGTCACCATGTTTTAGGACAAGGTGGTCACCACCTTTGTGCTCTTGGCCGCGGATGTTCCACCACTTAATATCTTGTTCAGATGATGGTTATCCTCTTTTATTACGCTATTCTGAAGGGTAGCCAGTTTGTCCCGCAATCGCCTCAGCTCCTCCTATAAAAGCATAACTATTATAGCCTCTTTTACGGCCAGACCCGGGCCGCATAGTTCCCTTTTAACAGATTACATTACTTTGAACCAAAGAGACTTATACACATTGTACGTCTCTCATCCCACTTTTTTTACAAATAAAAAACAAACAAATATATAAATAATAAGCTGTTACTCGATATTTTGAACACAAAAAATGACACAACGTAGTATAACAATTTTATATTAACCCATTCGCTCCTGGAGATTTTGCCGAAAAACGCGTTTTGAAGCTAGTCGAGTGGTTTTCTGGTCACTGTCGTGCTATAAAGAGCTAAAACTTACCACAAACCGGTTTACAGGTCGTACACTTGGCGGCCTTCTGATGCAGATGCAAAATATCAGCTTGCGAAGTTCGGGCATGGGTTTAAAAGTGACACAGCAGTCTTGACTTTTACTTTTCGCTTTCTCTTCTCCCTTCTTTTTTCGCTTTTCTTGGCTCACTTTTTTTTTCTCTTGCTGGGCATTTAGTAGGCTTCATTTTGGTGGGAAGAGTTTTTAGGAAAGCTTTTAGGATCTTAGGATTAGGTGAAAGGAAAGGTAGGTGGGTAATGGAACAAGATTTTCATGGAGATTTTCAGGTCCTTGTCACGTGGTTTTTTCCTTGTTTCTCCGGTGTCCTTGACTGAATTGTGCTCATTCTGGTATGGTTTGAAAGATCTCTTCACTCTGCACAAGTTAGCGAAGAAAGTTGTCATTGACCGTTAAAACTGATGACGTCACAAAGGGTAGAAAGGACCTGGATCCGCACGGGCGGTTACGGGCGGTTCAGGGGCGAATGGGTTAAGAAGTTATTATTATATACTAGATACAATGTATTTAATTCGACTAAACAGCGGGTAGCAACTTTTAGCCGAGGCAGATCTGTCGTAAGAGTCATTAGAGGAAAGGAAGAGGAAAGAGTATAATTTAAAATAAAGCCAATGAAAGGGTAAAGAAACTTGAAATTTTCTGAATCAAGGAATAACAAATGAATAAACTAAGTACAGTAAATAGAGAGCATAGAAAGAATTGAATAACAGATTTCTCATTTTAAGGCCAATCATGCTTTTTTTAATTGTGATTGGATCTCAGTACTAATATCAATAAAAACATGTTGCTTCTGATAATGCGGATAACTTTTTAGCTATTTACGAAGCTATCCTCAGGTAGGCAGCTCCGTAGTGGAGAGAGACAAAGAATGTTGCGTTCAAGCTTTTTGAAGGTTGCGTTTTCTTTTCTTTTCGAGAAAACGAATTTCGAGACATAAGCCGTCTAAACGAGTAATTGGGGCAACCATTTACCAAAGAGAGAAAACGGTATTATTGAGATGGGTACGAGTATGATGTTATGGTATGAAAATTAAGAGGGCGAGCAAGTAGAAGTTGGCAGCAATTGAGTATTCCATTATTTCAAACTTAAACAGGGCAGAGATCCTTCTCTTATAGAATTGTTAATACATGGAATAATTTCTCCTCTGAAATTAGCTTAGTAAATTTTTTTAAAACCTTTTGAAGGGTAATTGATGTACGTATCTTGCAAAAGACTTTTTACGATGAGCTACTGTGTCTACCATGTATCTATATACAGTTTTTTCTTTTATTTGACTGTTAATTATTTACATTATTGCCACTTTTCATTGAAAAACCCCTAGCGGGAGATGTCAAAAAGGTATTGTAAAGTAATAATAATAATAATAATAATAATAATAATTATAATAATAATAATAAATAAATAACTAATAATACTAATAAATTTTATTGTACCCTGAGTTCTTGATTCTCGTTGCTCAATGATTGCCCCTGTTGATGACCAGTCGATTGCACGTCGATCTCCTCCTCGGAAACCGGCATGTTGTTATGTGATGACGGCATCTGTCCTCTGGATCTGATGTCATCTGTTCCTTTCATCTGGCGAACTAATAAGTACTAAGAAAAAAATAAAAAAAGACTTGAATGGCTGTTAATGGGCTTGATATCTCATCAGAACTGCCCTGTAAATTAATGCGTCAGAGAATTCAGAGTTTTGCTGTTTTTGTTAAAGTATTTTCATGTTCGCCGTTACTATGGCCTAGGAGCACATGGAGCACACACTCACTGGAGTGTAGAACTAACCAGATGGTAAGAAATGTATATTTCCGTGTGCAACGAAAGTTGATGACATTTATGCCGGCCTGTTCAGATACACCTCGATTTTTTTTTTTGGCGTAAAATTCGATCTTCTTGTTTAAAGATATAAAAATTGAAACTAAAAGAAAAACATCCACAGATCATTCGCACAAATGAAATCTCCAGAGGATCAGCAGTCCTCTTTTGCGCTTCATTTTCAGTTCCAAGGCTGTGCTCTAGCAGCGCTCAGTAGCCTGAGGCGCCTTCCCGGGCGCCTTAAGTTTTTTCATATAGAAACAAAGGCACATGCTGGGCATCCTGGATTTCACAAGTTCATAGCACTTGGCGTTCAATGCGCCTTCGTTACTTCGCGCAAACTTTGGTTATCGCATGTAGCGGAAGGGTTGACCCTTTAAGGCCCAGACTCTCACATACAAATTTCCTAGACTGATATCTTTTTTCTTTTTTTTTCTTTCTGATATCTCGTTTAAATTTTGCAAATAATTCTTGCATTTTTCCTTTGGTAATTATTTTATTAATTCCCGTTACCGTTTCCAGGGCCCCAGTTGATAGCAGGTACTAAGGCGTCTGAATGGACTACCCTGATATGAATAAAAAAGTTCTCTCTATCTCTTGACTATGTATTCATGTTGTTAGAAGAAAATTGATGTTGGTCATTCTTGGGACTTAAAACGGTCGGCAGACTAATAAAAGATGACTTACAGCCAAAATAGGATGTACAAGAGCTTACCTTATGAGCAAACATGAGTACTAACACAGTAGAACAGTCCATGTGAATCAGTACAAAATCCAGCCCGTACATCAGGTCTGGATTTGTGTTTCCTTTCATTGTTACCCTAAAAAAAATTCGGGAAATAAACAAAAGAGAATAAGTTACAGGGTCATCACGTTATAAATAAGTGCATTATGTATACTTCAAACAGAGGGTAAAATCTCCCCTATATGGGTGGTTACTATAGAGAAGTATGAAGAAAATCATGTATCACTGACTGGATCTAAAAGGATGCAAAGGGTGTTCATTGGTTTTCGAGAGTCTACATACATTTACAACGGACGTATTCACGCTGTTTTAAACTGATAATACAAGCGAAGACAGTTGAAGAAACTAAGTACCCCTTAATACCCCTGTATTTTTAGTTCATGTAATTGTTAATATGAAAGTAATGGTTATTCTTTCGCTCGTTCTAAATGGCTCTATGCGTGGCTTCATAATTTAACCCATCCACGCCAAGGGTTATCGGAACAGAATCTCTGACTTAGTGCCATGAAAACTGACCTGAAAACCATGAAAAAACTGGTAACGAACATGGCGTTATAAACGGCCCAGCTGATGATCTTACTCTCGTTGTAAGCTGGCGGGGCGTTTCTAATCTTGTAACTAAGCCACATCCCCCAGATCAGCACCATCATATCTCCTAAGATAAACGACAGGTTCAGGTTCGTTTATTTCACACTATTTAAGGAGGATCAAAGTAGCGAAAGCTTTCTAGTTGACCACCACCTACTTTTAAATGAAACGAGAAATGACACTGAGCTTTACATATAGTAGAGAATGTTTGTAGAGCGTAGGACTACTGTACAGGACAATATATTTATAAAGGTACGTTATTGATATAATGAACCAAAAGAGAAATCAAGACAAAACAAACTAGCCAAAAAAAAAAACAAAGAAAAAGAAAACAACAACAACAACATCAACAGCAGCGACAGCAAAGACAAAATTAATGCAAGCAGACAGGTAGGATACTGGCTAAACAGACCTTTTCCACGGTTTTTTCAACTTTTGACATGGCCAAGATAGGGAAAATCCTTCAGCAGCCGTACTTTCGGTCGTCGCTTCTCTCCGGAGGGAGAAAAGTGACGACTGGAAACATGTTTGCTGTTCGCAGGCTATCTTTCTAGTGATATTGATATTGACAGATTTTCCGGCCCTAACTGGTCGATGTCAATGGTTGAAAAAACCGTGGAAGGGTCTATTCGCCATTCGTCATTTAATTGTCAAAAGTGACGCGAAACAATAAGCAGTTCGCAGTTAAATGAATAACTATTAGAGGAGGTGGGTGAGTGGGATTTCACTTACAAAACTATTTCCGAAAATTTCGGTGAGAATGTAAATAATAAACTGTTTCGGTTTGCTGGAGTGTAAAGTTTCCGTAATAAACGTCTTTGGAGCAGTAGTATCGAGCAAAATTTCCCCAAAAAAGTAAGTACCATGCACCCTCAGGCTATGCGCCATATCATGTCAACATGAAGGGAAAACTGAATTTTTAGGCCATTCGTGTGTTTTGGTCTAAAGATAGCAATTCAAGTCAAGAGCAATTCCTAATGGAGTAGGAAAGAAGCTTTCATTTTTGGGTCTCGATAGTTTAGATGCATTCCAACAAGTCACAGTTCACACTGCGGAGCGCCAAGTAATTTTAAATTCGTCTCCGTAGCCTGTTCTAGTCTTCAAAGCCATTTTGATTACCTTTCTTTCAAGACGGTTTTGTTGGTTTATTTCGTAAATAATGCCTCAGATATCACTTTATGCAGTGTAGAAGTGACACATCAGTGAGTTTAGTTTTGTGGTAAGGGGTGAGGATTGAATGGTCCTCTCTCACAAGCCGATACACACTATAAGGCCGGCAATGCACTGTCCTAACCTGCGATCACAGGTTATATAGTGCCGTCTCTGCAATACCTACTCTTATGTGTACTGAACGGCGGGATGCATTGGATATCTGAGTCATGAAACATAAATTAAGACCAGTTGAATTTCATGCAACATGTAATGGGGACAGCGTTTCGTCCCGTAACAGGCCTTTTTCATAAAATCGGTAATCTCACACTAACGAATTTGTCGCCGCAAAATGCTTCCTAGTGTGTCCCCCCGTCTTACCGAATATGAGAGTGTGATCGAACCAATTTTCGATGCATCTTTCATATTTGAGGTCATTAGATGTCCGTGCTGTTTCAACTAAGGGTGGTTGAAGTGCTGTCCAGGCGGTCAAATAAGAGCAGTAAAGCAGCACGAGAAGGCATAGGTGTCTTAACAAAACCCCGTCAGTAAGTGCAAGCTTCTGAGCCGAACGCACGCGGAAAATTAATGCCACCCTACAAAACAAGGAAGAAAACAAAAGCTATCAGACCGGCAACTTCAAGAACACTGTAATATTCAGGGGCGTAGAAACTACCTATACGCCAGTACGCAGGTGCTTACCCGAACATAAAAAGGTCGAAGATAAACAATGTAAAATAGAAAAACAAAGCAAAGGAATAGGAGGTAAGTAGGGATAGTTAAAAAAACGCCGTAATTGCCCATTAAACTCCGCTTAACTTCTTTCACATAAGTTTAAAATGCTGTGTTTTTTTCAAGATTTTGCCGATCGTGAAAGTCGTTCCTGCTGCCCTACACGGTCCTGGGACCCGAAGAGATGATCATCTCACTATATTGGTAAATGACGGAAATTTAATCAAATCACGCACGAGAATAATAATAAAAATTGAAAAACAATAAAGCTACGGGTACCTCCGAAAAATTTCTAACTACGTCCCAGATATTACTGTTTATCTCAACTGACCACAACCCCACCTCGCTCCCAGGGAGTAAATTCGGACTATCTGACAATGTAACATTGACCCAGGGGAGGTTTTGTGTCCTGCTGTTTTAGTGATAAGGCTTTGTGGGGGTTGCTCTATCTCGCGGGCTCACAAAACCTCCCCATTTCGATCTTACCTTATTATAGGAGATTAACGCTCCATGAAATTAAGGTATTGGAAATTAACGCGAATTTAATGGGAAACGACTTTCGAATAAAGAAAATTTACGCGAAAGAAGAGGTAGAATTTCATAATATAGGAAATTAACAGGAACAGAGGAAGTCTCATATTCTGTCGAGAAAGACTATGTTGACGATTCGTAATCTATCTTGGCCGAAATCAAAGGAGAAGATATTGACATCACTTCTGACAGCGACAACGATGAAGACGAACTCGCAAAATCGTAAACCTTCGCCTTAGCGTTTGTGAAAGATGAAAATAAAGGGTAAATGGAAAGAAAGAAAGCTTATAGTTAATGTTTTTCGGGTGTCAAGAATGTCTGGACAGGTTCCAAAATTGGGGTTAAAATACTGGAAATTAAGAGCGCTGAAATTAACGTTCAAAAAAATTAACGCGACTTAAAATAACGCGAATAGTAACGATTCGCGTTAATTTCATGGAGCGTTAATTTCCTATAATAAGGTATTTTGTATTTGCCCATTTAAAAGCATAGCTCAACCCAAGCTGTCATTAAAGTTTGTATTGTATTACATCTAAACAACACCTCAACACCAGAGAAAATGCAGAATTCAGGACACTTGTATAGACAAATAGGTTTTTTAAATACCTCCATGTTTTGAGAGCCAAGGGTCCATAAACGAGCGCGAAGCCAATGTGCTTAAGCCAGGGTCTAATGATACAGCGGATTCCAGTGGGTTTGAGGTACGAAACGATAAGCTGCGAACAGAGAGCAGCAAAAGAAGATCCATAACATAAATTTGACAGGATCACCATTCGCGGCTTTCGCTGTTTTAACTAGGGAGAGCTTTTGTCTGTTTGTGTTTCTTTTTTGTTATTTTTGTTATCCTTATTATTGCCATAACTATCATTATTATAATTATTCTTATTATTATGATTATAATTATTGTTATGATTATGATTACGATTATCACTATTATTGGGAATAATTCGCGGATGGCAGTTACTTCAAATGTCTCATTACCAGTGAACTGGAATGAATTCCTCTGAGAAATGTGCGTCCTTAGGAATAAACCAGGGGTGAAACTAAGCTTTCATTGTCTTTTAGGCAATATTTCTACCTGAATAGCTATATTCAAGAGAAAATGAGCTATATTATCCTTTGCGTCGTTCAGCTGAGGACCTATATTAATTCATGAAACTAAAACACTGTAAGAGTTTGAGGGCTTAGGTTCAGCGCGCATCATATGCGTTGTTGACCAAGCGTGAGTCAAGATGGCTGGTTATTGCGTTTTCTTTCTATTCCAGTTCAATAAAAATCGCTAAAAAGAATCAGGTCCATATCCAGCCATCTTAACCGAACAAGCTTGTTCAATACAAAGGATTTAATGTATGGCAAAAAAAGACAACTATTCACACTGAATAACTAAGTTAGAATCAGAGCATATAAGCCCAACAAATTAGATCAGATGCAATGGTATAGGTATACCAAGTGTGGGATATGACCGCGTCTTTTGAAGGGTTTCAAAGGGACCTATTTATTTTCCCACCCACCCTCCCACGACTTTATTCTTGCTGCGACTCATGTCACATCATTCGCCGAAGTTTTTCCCCTACCTGAATGCGATGCGATAATTGTTGCAGTGTGGAATAGTTTACTTTTTCTTGCGGAACCAATGCGGGGAACCCCGAGCGGTCATAATGGGCACATCCTTCCCCTGGGGTAGTCAATCAAAACACAGCTCAAGGTTGCGCTTCACCTTGCCCGCTCGCGAATTCAGCCATATAATAAAGATTGGTACTAACCGTTGAGTACATTAGCAAAGCACCCAGTAACATGATCTCCATGAAGCGGGGACTCGAGGCTTTGAAAATCTAATGACAGAGAAGCAAACCACTCTTACGACTAATCTGTTGTACCTCGACAATACTCGACAATAATCTGTAGCTACGTTTGTCTCTACGAATGAATGTGAGAACTGTTTCCTGTATAACTCTTCGAATTTCTTTAAGAATTTGTATAATTATACTTTTATAAAGATTATTATTATCATTTCTCTACGTGTATATGGTACCTAGTCTTTTAGTTTTTTAGATACGCATCCTTGCTTAATGGTACTCGGAACAACGATCTTTACTATTTGTAGCTTTTCCCCCTATTATCTCTTTCTCGCCAGTTTTTGCAATTTTTATCCGTTTGCGCTAAAACTTTGCGGGAAAACAGAACTCGGTATTTGCGTTAATCGCATGTTTTTGGATTAGCGATTTTAACAGCTTTTGGCCGGAAAACGACTTCATAAAATTGACAGAAAAAATTAATTTTCGTCCTTTGACATAAAAAGTAAGCAACTTTGAAAGAGTAAGGACTGCGGACGAGTGAGATACAACCTGAGCTATTAAGAAGCATAAAATGGCATATTAAAAGGGAAACGAAAACTATTTCCGAGGCACTCACACCGCGCGCGGCATTTCTTTAGTACATACCTTATCTTCCCAGTGGAGTGCCACGTACACAGCAAAAGCTATCGTCACAATCATAACAGCGCCATTTACACAACATAGTAACAGCCGGATCACGATCTTCAAAGTGTAAATACATGGACTATCATCAACACACTCGTCACACCCTTCTCTGCACCGGCGGCACTCGAAGTTATTTTCATAAGCGTTCGGTTCCCCTCGGAGCATCCGATCATGTTCGCGTTCAATTACGGAGCCGTTAAAGGCTTTTTCTGAAGCAAGTGCGTCTGGGAAGTAGTAACCACGCTTACATGTGCAAACATAGCTTCCTCTCTTGAATCCTTGGTTAGGAACTGCTTCACACTGTTTCGGAGAGTAACAAAACGACGCCGTAACGTTACTAGCATCAAAAGATTGAATGTACGTTTCATGCACTCGAAATGTATGAGGTTTTCATACCCCACAAAAAAAAAATAAATAAATAAAATAACGTTTTACTATAAATAACGCATTGTTAGCGGTTTTGACATCACTAAGTGAAATCGAATACCAAACTAAATAATGCTTTGCGGAGTCTAAAAAAAGGCAATTAATTGATTTAAGCTTTTATTTTACTTGTTTTATTTAGTTGTCTGAAATGAAATCTGGAATGAAAGGTTACTGTAATTTCATGTATAACAAGTTACATAATAACTCCGAAAACCGTGGACACCCAAAACAAACAAACAAACGAATAAACAAACAAACTGAACAAACTAAGTAACTACCGTATTTTTCGCTTATAAGGCGCAGCATTTTTCCAACGAAAGTCTGGTTGATAGCTCTAAATCTATTGTATTTTCGGGGTGCGTCTTATAACCGAGTATCTTCGGGCAACAGAACAAAATTGAGTCAAATCCTTGACTCTAGCTGCTCATCCTCTTTTTTGTTATCGGTTTTCAATGACTTCTACATCTCGGTAATTGCCGCTGCTGCTTGCGGTTTAGTTTTCTCTCGCATAATTGGCTTTCTCCTGCCCTATGAGCAGAGGCTACATTTTCGCTGTATCAGCTGGCACGCTTCTTTTCGCACGCCAGCTCATACGGCAAAAATGTAGTCTCTGCTGGCAGGGTAGCTTTCTCCTTGCAACACTGACTTTCCAGAAATGTTTCTGGTGTTCACGGTCTTACGAGTTTCATTGTAAAATTTCAGGTTTCATAACACTTAACCCTCGGATCGGAAGTACAAGGGGGAAGGGGGGGGGGTTAGAGTTAGGGTTAGGGTTTTTCTGATTTTTTTCCCTAGACGATTAAACATATTCAGCGCCTGAAGATTTCAGTAGTTGTTTGTTTACCCCTCGCACGCATTTTGAGACGAGTTTAGTGATGGTCAGTTACTATGGTTACGAGATATGACGCCATAAGTAGCAGGTGGTCAAGCCATTTTTGAGTAAAAATGCATGTTTTTTCAGCTTTTTTCAAGATTAAAAGTAAACTTGTGGATAAAATGATGCAAAGTAATTATCTATGTGTTATTTTAGATGTTAAGCGCAGAAAATTATTCATTTTCACTGTTTTTACCTGATTTCTATTTCTTGATAAAATCCAAGATGGCGGCCATGTTTGGTGACGTCACAGACCTCCAACAGTGCCATCACCCATAAAATATACCTCATCTTTTAGAGAAGATCAAAGGTTTTCCACTGAAGGCAAAATCGTTTCGAAATATTGCAACATATCAAACCCCTTCAACCATCAGCCATCAACCCCTCCCCGTACCACGGTGGGGGTATGACTTTGCCCGTACGTCCGGGGGTTAAAAGTAAAAATAAATGGCTCATAAGCCTACGTAGTCCCTCCAGCAAAATGTTCTTTTTGTTAAGAGAAGAACTCTAAAAAAACAAAAACAAACCTTGTTGGGTGGAACCGAACGCAGTTTTTTGTGCCCGAAGAGTAAAATGGGTTTATGTAATATTTATTTTGGTCAAGTACTTGCCTTTGTTGATGGCTTACATAAATGAGTTCCCAAAAACTCTATTAAATTCTCTTTGTCATCTTGCTCAGAGGTTTCTTGGTCATCACATTGGTTGATGTTGATATCGCTAAGAACCACATCAATACTGACCACGCCACTACAAAAAAAAACCTTAATATTTTAAAGGTTGATTCACTGTAATGCACATTCTTCATCACCGTCCGCCAGATTTCGTGATAGGGCCTGCAGTTCGTGTTGTTAGTCCAGTCAGTAGAAGAAGACAAATACAAACGGAAAATGACTCAAAAATAGGGGTTCTAGATAGTTGGTAACCTGTACAATATTCTAGATATTGCATAAATTTTTACGTATCCAAATATATAACCTGCCAAAGTTTTAACCAGTCTGAATAATATTGGCCATCAAGCGTGCCCAAACCATGCTGAGAAAAGCAATGAAAATTTGTTTTTGAAAGTTTTCGTCGTAAGCCGGTTCATACGAGAATTATTATTATTATTATTATTAGTGGTAGTAATAGTAGTAGTAGTAGTAGTAGTAGTAGTAGTAGTAGTAGTAGTAGTAGTAGTAGTAGTAGTAGTAGTAGTAGTAGTAGTAGTAGTAGTAGTAGTAGTAGTAGTAGCAGTAGTAGTAGTAGTAGTAGTAGTAGTAGTAGTAGTAGTAGTAGTAGTAGTAGTAGTAGTAGTAGTAGTAGTAGTAGTCGTCGTCGTCGTCGTCGTCGTAGTAGTAGTAGTAGTAGTAGTAGTAGTAGTAGTAGTAGTAGTAGTACAGAAATTACGAACGTTCTGATTGTTTTTGAAAATCGGGTTGTATCTTCACATCCTAAGGAAATAGCAGGCTGTGATACCCTTCTTAAAAGAAACATAGATACAATCCTGTTATCAAACACAGAAATCACTTTCGTGGTTTCTGTATTACAGCAAATAAATTCGGTGAAGTGTACGACCGCAATGCACACTGGTTGAAGGTGCCCTTTAAAGCCTTGGACTCCTAACTCTCCTCCACTCCTAGCTCTCACCCTAACTGGTAAGTGAGATATTTCACATTGGTGTCCTGCGGCGCGGACAGAAGTCACGTATCTACTAGGATTTCTTGGATAAATAGCTAACTCCGCCAATAGTGGTACTTACAGAAACTCATCCGTTTCATTGTAAAATGGCGCGAGATATGTGACCATCCAAACCTTCCCTCCAAAGCAGTCGAAGTAAGGTCGAGTCCAGGTTCCATTCTCAAAAGTTACATGCGGAAAAGCCTCTTTCTTTTTCGCCTTTTTTGCAGTTGCGTTAAAACGCTCCTCGAAAAAGCCCAAAGATTTCACGGGTATGAAGGTGAGAGCTTTGTTTCTTGGTTCGTGCCACCAGATTGCGTTTGTATCAGTGGTATAGTCATAATCCCCATTGGCTATATCAAACACATGAACACTCCCGTTTAGGTCGGAATCTCGGAAGGCGTACGGGCAAAATCGTGTGTAATTTTTGTACAAGTTGTTGTCAAAGCAAATCACTGATCCGAATACAGACGGCGAGAATAACACGATTGAGCGGACATAATGGTAAAGCAAAGCATCGTTTGCGGCTACAGGATAACCATTATCCCCAGGAGCGCGCCATAAGGAAGTCATCAAGTTAGCCACTTGCACGGTCAAAAGCGCCTCTTTTTTCCATCGCCGTTCGTCGAATGTTATATTTAGCAGATCAACCTTGTTACACCCATTGTTTTCTTGTAGCTGTTGTTCAACATCTGCAACTTTGCGAAGAGCCTCGATGACTGATTTAATTCTACTCCTGCTTTTCTCTCTGCTGTGAATGTGAGGAGGTTCTTTTCCAGGACTGTCGCCCAGTGCGCCTGGAAAGCTATCTGACCGACCTTGTCTACTGATATAATCGTGTACTGTTATCATAAAAAAGATGAACGTCAACTTTCGCACTCTCATTTTCTATGTGTAACTCTTATTTTGCCATCGAAGCTAATGTTCACTCCTATATTGATAAAAATACATATCAACTTTAGGAAAGGACCACTTTAAGTGTTTATGTGGTTATTGTGCTTCGGGTGATGTGATATATTATGGACTATGAACCTTATTTGCATCATCATTGACGTCACCATCTTTATTTTTACACAGTAATACAAACATTAGTCGTCCTAAATATAAGTAAATATCAGTATCAGTATAATGAAAAACTTAATATAGAAATAACAAAATTATTATAATTATCTAATTCGTCTGTTTTTCATGAGTGCAGTCAGAGACGTTGCTTGCTTGACAGCAGACTGTTTCCAGAGAGCTGCAACAATACTGTAACCAAATGTTTTTATAAGAATACGTGGCAAGGGAACATCAGGCTTATTTACTCCGAATCTCGCAGTTTGTAAGAATTAACAATATCACTTCGTTGAGTTAATTTTGAAGATAAATAGCACACGCAGGGTCATTGACGTCGAGTTTCTAATTTGTCCCATTTTTAAAAAGGTGGTTAGCCGCACCAGCTTCGTAGCTGGAGTAAGTACGCGAACCACACAATTTTGCAGTTTCTGCAATGTTTCAGGTAATGCTTTGCCAGAGTAACCCCATCCAACACTATAACAGTCGACGCACGATTGAAATAACCCGTGAATGATATTTTGTGGGTTGCAGGAGGCCCAAGTGGCTATTTCGATTTTTTTCGATATTGCATCGATATGATCACACCGCGATAAATTTTCGTCAATAAAGACACCAAGAGACTTTATTGTTAAATTGACTCCGTTTAATTGTGTATCACAATTTTCAAACTGAGGGAGCCGACAGACTGTTTGATTTTTGCCTCGAGGCAATTTTACATAATTCAGTTTATGTCGTGTTGAGAATCAATTTCTTGGCAGTGGTGCATATTGGACAAATCTCGATTTTAAGAAGCATGAATGGAGCTGAGATATGCAAATACACTGTATAAGTTAGATGTGTATCATCAACATACATTCTTACATACATTCTTGATTCAGAAAATTGGCATGCGCAAACAATGGGTAAACCAATATGTGGGAAAAACAACAAAGGTCACAGTATTGTCCTCTTGAGGATTCGGAAAGTCGAAGCGCAACTTCTACAAAGGAAACCTCTTACGCTGCATTTCATTTTTCCATGGGATGTTATTAGTATAAGGAAAGGAATTCATAGGCAGTTCCTTTGAGTCCACATAAATTTAATTTGGATAATAAAATAGAGTGGTTGTCAAACGCCTTCATATGCTTTAAGATACAACGGCGTTCACATATTAATAAAAACCAATAAACTAAGACAGGTCCTATAATTATCGGTGGTTTCCAGTAAACTGAGATCACTGTATCTAAAAAAGCACTCAAAGGGAAACAAAAGGCTACGATAGTCACAAATGAATTAACTTGGAACACACTAAGACTTTTTAGGTGAAGTAATCTCAAGATGACATATTAAAGGTATGAACTCCCGTTGAACTGGCCAAGAGGCCTGCAAAAACCAAGCAATTCTAAGAAAGGGCCTCAATTCATCATGCCACCAAAGTGCAGACCCAACACGATGAAATTTAAAGGAGTTACTTATTTCCCGAGTCACGGGACAATAATATATGCAGTGAGAATGAGAACACGAATAAAAAATAGTTTCTTTGGATTTCAAGTTTCCTCGAGCGCAATTAAGTAGTTAGGCCCCAATTCTGAAAGCTACTTCCAAAAAATGAAAATACTTCTTTTGTAGCCTGAAAATTTTAACATTTTTCAAGTTGTCAAGTTAGCAAGCCAAACAAAAGACAAAATTCACGATTATTTCCTTTTATTCAAATAGTCGATAGTAACGTCCATCCATTTACAGACTTTCAAAAAAAAACTGAATAGTGCGTTCAAGAAATAACTTTTACATGACAGATCAAATACCCTAGTTAGCAGATTGACACAAATAATCAAAGAAATCTATGAAGCAATTCAACGCCAGAAGAAAGTCGCTGGAACTCTGGATGGCGAATTTTAGAAAGTCTGGATGAAGAACTTAGTCGTTACAAGACCAACTAGAAGAGTACCTAAGTGAGGAGGATATTACAGCCGACTTGACGTGATTTATGGAGTACCGAAGAACATAATCGACAAGCAAGGAGGTTGTAGGACATTTTGTCAACAACAAGAGATCACCGATTGGAAACAATCTCTTCATGAGGGCGCTTCAGGATTCGAAACAAATTCTGTAAATATAAAGTTAGCAAACATCAATCGCCGATTGAATAGGTCAAATTTTGCGATCAGTTTAGAGCAGCAGTGGACTAAAATCAATAGCTTCATGATGTACACAAGCTCGCTTATTTAAAAACATGTCTCTTGGGTAGGGCTGCCGAATCAGTACAAGGATGCACATTGACTGAGGATAACTATTCATTCGCGGAATTTCTAAAGAAGAAAAGATTCGGCAAGAACCGTTATAATTCAAGCCCATTTGGACGCGATAATCGATCTGCCGAAGCTTGACTCGATGGAAACCTACTAAGTGCGGAGTCTCTTAGACACCCTTGAGTCGACTTTGGTATTAAGAGTCCCTCCCGGTGTTCAAAATTCGATTTCAAGATCAAAGACGATGAGGAATTTTCGCCTTAAAAATATTCCGGAATTTTATGAATGGGCGGCAGCGAAAGACGCGGAACAGCTAACAAACCTTAGAGCATACATTCCTTCTCATTCTCCATTAACTCCAAAGTACTCATCCGCCGCACATCGAGCTTCATTGGCTGGTGGGAAAGGTTGACGAAAGTAAAGAAATTCAATGTGTGTCTTGCGGAATGAGTAAATCACACGACAGCCTGATGTAGAAACTAGTTAAGCGTAGAAGATAAGCTTGGAAAGTCATTTTATGCTAGTCTCTGTTTCAACTGTCCTGATTCTACGGATCACTATGCACATGACAGTGTGAAGCCAAAGTGTTCCATGTGGAATAGCTCATCATCGTTTATTGCACAAGCTTACCAACCCAAGCCGCGAATCCGCAGTAAAGTACCAGAAAGAGAAGCTCCCTCACAAATAAATCCTTTATCAACGCTTTTCTATCTAGCAACAAATTACACGAACGTGCTAGGAAAAACAGCGTTGGCAAGAATCAAGAGTGCTTGATCAGGTCTGGAAAAGACAGCGAGAGTCATGTTTGACGACGGCTTTGACAAAACTTGCATTAGGAAAGTACTTGCGGATGAACTTCGATTAGACGGAACCAAAAGAAGCAGTGGCGGTAGCAACCTTCAGACAGAGTGTGGGAAAGCCTGTTACAAGCCGCAAGGTTGAATTTCATTTGGCTGCAGACAAAGAAGGAAATAATTGGGTTAAAGTCAAAGCCCTAGCTGTTGATGACCTTGGTGCCCCTGTAAATAAGAGTTACCCTAAGTGCATGGCCCCATCTTGGCCAGATCAAATTCGCAGAGAGTTACCCAAGAGAAATGAAATTTGTAGATGTCTTAATCGGACAGGATTTTGAATTAGAATTTGCAACATCTAAGCCAAAGATCCTTGGTCCTAAAGGTAAGCCTGGTACGATTAAAACTACTCTTGGATGAATTTTGTGTGGTCCACTCAATGAAGTCTAACGACGCAAAGAAACAAGAACCATGAGAGTGGAAAACACAAATGAAAGGCTTGATGAAAACATCAGAAGACTTTTTGAAGTGGAGACTATGGGAATGGAATGCAATAATGAAACCGCGGCCTCCTTAAGAGATCGAGCAGTAATGGAACGGTCTGATAGGAATATTAAGCAAGAAGGTGATGGACATTACAAAGTCGTGTTGCCCTGGAAAAGTAAGAAGCATCTTCTTAGGAGCAATTATGCTCAACCCAAAGTGAGATTAGAGCAAAGCTAAAGAAAATGTTGAAACCAGATCCTGCAATGCAAAAGGAATACCAGGAAGCAATACAAAAGTACGAAAAAGTGGGTACTTCAGAAGAATGTCCATGCAATGAAATTATCTCAAAGGACGGTCTTCCCGTTTATTATGTACCTCATCATGTCGTGATCAGACCAGAACGAGAAACAACCAAGTATCGGATAGTGTTTGACGCATCAGCAAAAACTGAAAACGGCGTTTCATTAAATGATTGCTGAGAAACAGGCCAAGCATTACTGCCAGAACTTGTTAGCATCCTACTAAGTTTCAGAGAGCATCGCGTTGCAAGACCGTGAAACTCAAAGAAGAAGATCGTGATGTCTTCCGTTACCTTTGACGCGACATGGACTCTGGTGCTCCACCGCGAATCATGCGAATGGTGACTCTATGTTTTGAAGTAATCCATGTCCCTTTCTGGCAATAGGGACAGCAAGATATCACGCGGAGAAGAATAAAGATAAATTCCCTCAAGCTGCACAGGTAGTCAAAGACGACTTCTACGTTGACAACCTTTGCTCAGGAGACATCAGAAGGAGAGACATCAGATGTCTCGACAAAGTCACTAGACTAAATCATGATTTGACACAGCTTATGACTCAGTGGTTTTCAACTAGCTAAACGGGCAAGCGATTCAGAAGATGTGATGAAAGAGATTCCTGATTATCAAAGATCAACGGTGACGAAAATTGAACTCAAAGATGACAAAAAGTTTCAGAAATCACTTGGTGTAATTAAGTTGCAATCCAAGGTAGGACACCCTTAATTTCAAGTTTGATGCCGATGAGCTCAAAAGTGGAACTAAAAGAGAACTTATCAGACTCATGGCTAAGGTTTATTATCCTTTGGGACTATTGAGTCCATTAACTGTGCAGTCAAAGATATTGGTACAAGAACTATGGAAAGATCAGTACGGCTGGGACGAAGTATTACCCGTATCCGCTCAGACAAAATGGAGAAAGTGGCTTCAAGACGTGGAAGTGCTGGAACAGGTAGAAGTTTCTCGACGCTATTTCTCCTCATTGCCAGATCCAACGAAGAAAGAAATCCATGCCTTCTGCGATGCTTCACAGAACGCTTATGCTGAGGTAATCTACATTAGAACTGTTACACCATTAGGTAATGCGCAAGCGTCATTGGTGATGGCATAGACACGTGTAGCTCCACTCCTGACTATCCCAAGGTTAGAGTTGAATGGCGCACTTATCGCAGCTCGGTTATGCAGTTACAATGTACCTGAAGCAAGTACTCAAGTGCAGAATTTAAAGGGCCATTTGCTGAACAGACAGCTCAGCTGCTCTTCACTGGATTGGAGGCCCTTCTGCTCGGTACAAACAAGACGCAGCAAACCAGCTCAACGAGATCATCAATTTAACAGAGCCTCAGTGTTGGAGGTATTGCCCCAGCGATGACAACCCAGCAGATTTACCATCTGGAGCATCACTGCAACTCAGCTTATATCTTGCAATCACTGATGGAACGGATATTCATTCTCAGCCAGAATGCCAATGGCCGTTAGACTTGAAGACTACATAGAATATACAAGAGGAAGAGAAACTATTTTTCGGTGATGAAAGTGAACTCTATTAAAAACACAAAATCCTTCATTGAATCAGAAAGGTTTTCCTCTCTTCGGCAGTTGCTACGAGTAACTGCATAAGTGTCTTGCGATTTCTGGAAAATGCTAAAGGCTCGCCAAGTGAAGGAACACGGGAGTGCTATCAGCGCAAAAATTGAACGAGGCTAAGGTTCTTTGGATCAAACCCACAAACCATGACGATTTTCGAGATGAAGTAGTCATCTTAAGGGTTCTGAAGTCTTACCAAAGAAAAAGAGGCTAAAAAATCTATCCCCATTATCTTAACAGTGAGACGGGGTTAATCGGAGTTGGCAGAAGAATTCACAAGTCAAGCCTTCCTGGGGAAACAAAATATCCTGCCATTCCCTACCAGAACAGATTCGTAGACTTGCTAATCTAGGAGGCTCATCAGAAGCAGTTACATGCGGGAACCAATGAAACCCTCACGCACTTAAGACAAGGGTATTGGATAATTCACGGAAGAAGTGCAGTGAAGAAAGTGGTGAATCAATGTCGCATTTGTCGTCTGTCTATTTACGTGTTGTGCAACAGGTGCAGTACATCTTGAGCTCACACGTAGCATGACCATCGAAAGTTATCTATTGCCTTTGACAAGGATGATGTCGAGAAGAGGCAAGATTGACGTGATTTTGTCTGACAATTTCAAATTCTTTAAAAACGCTGACAAAGAGCTCCGCCAAAGCCGGGACGTTACCTCCAGCGCTTTCACACAGGAAAGAGTCCAGGGTAGTGCTATATTCGTTGGAATTTCATTTCCCCTCGTACATCCCACTGGGGAGGATTTTATGAAAGATTAAGGTGAAGTTAGTGAAGACACCCATAAAAAAGACGCTTGTAAAAGTGATGTTGAATGATCGAAGAAGAAATGAGGACAACACTTACAGTAGTCGAGGCACAAATAAACAATCGTCCCTTGATGTAGCCTGAATTTCATCCGATTACTTCGAGTCGTTATTGCTCCCTCAGTAACGTCTGAATCGACCTGGCGTTAATGCCGTCCAGTGACGTCACTACTCCTTGACCTTTGCTTTAATTCATGCAAAAAGTAAAACCCGATTTTCAAGTGGCAAACCGAGAAATATCGTTTGGAAATGTCTGCATGATACGGAATTGTTTTATCTTTTTCGATCGTAATACATGTTTATGTCTCCTCCCCGGTTTACTAAACACTAAACTGCCAACAGCCGAGCTTTGTTTGCTAGACGCCTAACTTAGGAAACAAAGAAAACCGAGACTGTGGTCTGGGATTAAAAAACATGGCCAAGTTAATGGCCGGTTTTATTCAAATCTGTAAAATCATCTTATCAATGTTAAAATATGAAATAATGTTTACGAATTTATAGGTCTAGCAAAGGTGAGGGCCAGAAGAAAAAGGCAACTAAACTACAAGAAATACCTAAGGGACTGGTCAAAAAGTATAGGCGGGGGTGGGCCGGAGCAGAGAGGGGGTGGGTCATGAGGTTTTGAGCCTTGTGCAAGGGGTGGGTCGTGCAATTTTCAGCTACCATTAGGGGGTGGGTCACCCTATTTTATTACATAGATAGGCACTAACTACTAACGAGACAGTTGACCACACTTGTTATATAAAACACAGCCAGCTGGAATTATTGCTAAAATACTCACAAACCTGTTGTGCGAGAAAATGCAACGGGTGACAGGCCGCACATGCATCTATACGGGCGTGAAACCCTTTGTTATTCTTTTTTTTTGGCTCTAACGAGCATGTCCTTTAATGATTTTCCTTTTTTGTAAGGAAATGATTGGTGGTTCCTTAAAAATTTATTGAAGTTATGGTTGGTTTTGTCTAAGATTCCATTTTTATTATTCGACCTTCCTTTATAGTAGACACTGAGGGTTGGTATTGTGTCACAAATGGCAATATTTCTTTTTCCTCCTTGTATGTTTTGTTTTCGGAGTTTAGACTCGTTTTTGTGAATTTTATTTCTGATAGTAGGTCTTCTATCAAAGTTTGTGGGTAGCCTCCGTCCATCAAGCCTTTTTTTTTTAAATTTTTCCTCAAAGGTTGTTTCTGTGGAGTTTTTTCGTAGGATTCTCAAGGCTTCTCCTTTGACAAATCCTTTTTTTACACTTGGAGGGTGACACGAGGTGAAAGGTTTCCGTTTGTTTAAAATGTGTCTTTGCATCAAGGATAGATATTTTCTTGAATCTTGTGCCTTTGTATACAACCGTGTCTAAAAACGCTGCATCTCAGGGTCAAATTTTTCGGCAGTGAATTTAATAGTTGGGTGATGTAAGTTTGCTTGTTCAATGAAGGCTTCGATGCCTGGTTTACTCATGTCCCATAGGGAAAAGATATCGTGTATGTAGCATTTCCAAACTGTTGTTCTAAAGACAGTTTTGCTTAGAGTTGTTGTTTCAATATATGTCATGAAAATATTGGCAAAGGAATCAAAACTGCTGTCTTTGTACCCATTGCAGTTCCATGGTTTTCTGGGTAGTGCTTTCCATTGAAGTGGAAGAAATTTTTTTTGAGGATTAATCTAAGAATTTCCAGCAAGTAATGTGTAGGAATGGGTTGTCTTTGTAGAAATTTTCATATGCTTTGTGACAGACAATTTCAATATACCCTCGTTTTGCTGTATATTTGTGTCAAGACTCATAACGTCCCTAGAAACAAGAAATGTTCGGTTTTTCACATTTGTCTTTTCAGTGAAAGGTATGATTTCTGTGATTTTGATATTGGTTGTAGCAGTGTATCAACAAATTTTGTCAAGCACAGAACAAGGTTAGGTCATCCTCTTTTTCTTTCTCCGCTTACCGTCGTCCGACCGACCCAAATTTTCTTGTAAAGACGTCACAAGGAGTGGTCCGTCGACCAATCACCAGATGTTAGAGGCTGCTTACACTTAAAAAGTGGACAAACACTAAAGACAGAAACATTTTTATTTTGATTGTTTGCAGATACTTTGCTTTTTAAAAACGCCTGCGTTTGGGCGGGAATTCTCTGAAATATTTATGGCATTTAAGGTATTCACATTATGTAACTTGAATAAGAACATTTAAATATTCAAAATAAATCATTCAGTCCTCAAGGGTCGAACTAGGAACATATAGCTGAAACAGATTAAAATAATACGAGGACGCGATTATTAAAGCTCATTTGTTGTCCCTAGAATTTCAATAACGTAGGCGTGGCGAATTTTTTTTGAGAGGTTGCATGGGGAAAATGATTTTAAAAGCATGTAATTAGTAGGTCTTCAAATAATTACAAAACCACCGATTTTTCGAGTTTACTTAACATTATTTTACACTTTTTAATTCATATTAAGACTGCAGTTTAATGGAATATTCATGTTGTGCTCACATCAGACACAAAACAGGTTTGCAAAATTAAAACAAAACAAAACAAGGACAAAAAACAAAAGGCAAGAAACAGGCAGAAACTCAAATAAAAGCTAGTTATTCAACAGCCCATGAAAAACAGAATATACATCTGAGTGTTGCATGCGGAACCTATTTTTACCCTCTCCTCATTCCTTTCCCCATTCTCCTACTGGCACAAAGGAGCCCCTGTTGAGGAGAAAACCTCAGGGGCTCTCTTCACTTAACAAGGGGAAAGTGGAGTCTGGGAACGAGCGATCTCTCGTATGAACCCATTTCAGAGTGAAAAGTGTTTGATATTAAGGCAATACATGTTAAGCCATTGTGTGAACACAACATAAGAGAAACATTCATACTCGCGAGTTCAGGAAACTAGAAAATGGTGACGAAGACATTTTTTTCTGTGTGTGATCGTCACAATGTTCATCGTTCGTCGAGGAACGAATTCGAGAAAGACTATTGCTAGCGCTCTTTATGTGCTTATTTTTGTCCTTCATAAGACGAGACTGCAGATTGGCAACTTTGTTGGCTAGTCTCTTAACTTCCTCCTGTAAAAAAACAAACAAACAAACAAACAAAAAAAGACATAAATTACATTTTCATTACAAACTAGATAATTGCGTGATGGATTACTAAGACTGGATTGCGTGAGGAATAATGATTGTCAACGTGAAGCAAAGCTATCAATGGGTAATTGTCTATAATCCTATTGACTATAATGTGAATGGTATTTTGGGATATTCTAAAGAATCGTAGCCTTACAAATGAGAAGAAGAAAAGGAGGATCTTTCAGAATCGCGTCAAGGCTATTAGTCACCGCAGCTCGAATTTCAGGACTAGTTGACCTTCTTCTCTCTCGCCATAATGGTTTTCCGAGTATGAGCATCCATTTATTGATAAACCGATGGCCATGACTGAGCCCGATATATCAAGCAAACGGCTACTAGGCCTGGGTTTGAAACTATATCCTAGCAACATGTCGCGCATGCTCAACAAAGATTTTACCCGATTCACGCAGAATACACCAAATCGAACGAGTAAAAGAAAGGCATTGTTTGCAGGGTGGGGCAATTCTGGATAAAAGAGAAAACGTTCTAAACAAAAACTACCTTTAAATCCTCGTTTTCTCTTTCCAGTGATGATGCATCATATAAATAACTTCCGTTGGAGGTCTGGATTGAGCTTCTTGGTTCATGACTGATTTCAGTTAAACGACGGCTGAACTCCTTCCCTCGCATTTTACGTAGTAAGACAAGCTATTAACGAATTAATAAAAAAAACTGCCACTTAGCAAAACCTTAACAATTTTTTATTTTTCATACTTGTTTATTTGAGTGCCTTAGGACCTCTCCACACTAACATTATCCACTAGATAAATCTCTATCCACTGAATAGCGCAACTGGTTTCGCTAATAGTTATCCGCTGGATAGTAATTTATCCGGTGGATAGCGCTATCCAAATTTTTAAAAAACCCGGGCCAGTACGATATGTAACTATGCGTTGTCTTTTTTATTTAATTTCAGGAGCGTTTTCAAATTGTTCTACTCTACTCGAGTACAAATATGATCGCCAGATCTGACACGTGGACAATTTCATTACGGATACTCCAGAACCACAGTCAACATTCGTGACCAACTCATCTACGCTGGTGTAGGTTAAAAACCTCAGTTTTTATCCTTGTTGCATACCAGTTGCCTCAGCAGCCGAAGGGGGTTACAACGGGAATATTGGACAGCATTCACACTAGGTGTCCGGGCACGGTGCACAAGTACAGTAATCGCTGGACACTACTGTGAACACTCCCCTTTTTCAAGCAACCACGCTAGAATTCGGGCACGTTGCCGACGCCCAAGTACTAGGTTTGATTTGTTTCGTGTTGATGGAAGGCTTAACCGGAGACAAAAACGAAGGAGGCCTTATTCAAAAATCAGGATAAAAACAAGCAAACAAACACACTTTAAAATCAGTTACCTTCGGTAAAAACAATAACAGCAACGTGACTGTAGCTGTCATCTGAATCAGTATAAACTTTGTGGCGAACAGAATGTCGGAATTGGTGTTGTTCGCAGTAAGAAATCTGAAACAAAAGGTGTTTCAATTACGTGTCTGACAGGCATAAATGGAGGTTTTTATCATTTCTAAGGAGAGGCACTGAACAATTTCAACCACTTTTAACTTACCTTAATACAGCAACAAAGCACGTGACGAACATGGCGTTATAGACAGCCCAAGTGGTAAATCTTGTTTCGTTGTAGGCCGATGGTGCATTGCGAACGCGGAAACAAAGAAACAAGGCAACCGCCAAAAGAATAAAATTACCTGGATAGTATGAATGATTAAAAAAACACAATTAAATAGGGGAAGTATTACATTGATGAATGTACATGTACTAAGTGTCTAGCCCATATGTATTCATTTGTTTTTTATGAAAAGCGCGCAGTCACTGGTGAAGTAAAACATAGTTGCCATGTAGCCTGAGAAAACAGCCGACATTTCGCGACGCCTTTACTGTTTTCCCCACGAAATAACGTCTGAGAAACGACCACAGAAGTTCCATATTGATAAACGCGTTACAACCCAGATCTGGATAGACACGTCAGCCGCGTCAGCAGTATGGAATTTGTGCGCCCGTTTCTCAGACGTCATTCCGCGGGAAAACCTGTGGAGGCGTGGTTAAATGTCAGCTGTTTTCTCAGTGCTCTGGAGAAAAGTAGACTAATAATACGAGTAAACATAGCAAGGTCAAAAAGGAAAATAACTACATTGGAGAGGAGGTCATAATTTGTTTAAAACTTCGGGAAAAGATAAAAAAAAAGAAACAAAGCAAAAGCACGAGATAAACTATGTCCTCTCACGAATACAAGTATGTCTATGTGTCTCGTCATTGACTAAGAGCTTACAGTTAATTTTGAATAACAGCACATTACCTACACATTAGTCAGTTATCTGCTACCAGATAATTAACTTAGCAGAAGGTTGCTTGCAATGTATGACTCCAAGATCAATTTCGACGGTGCGACGGTGCTTTTGTCATTATTTCATTTTGTATAATAAAACAATTGCATTGTATAATAAAACAATTATTAGATAAGGGTTTTGTAATATCAGAAACAATCAAGGTCAGGGTACGTATTATCAGCATTGCCGGGCAAAAACGTTATTTAATAACTATTTTATCTTTTAATCTGAGAGGGTCGCTGATTCGTTTTTGTCGTCAGCAATACGTCTCTAATCTGTATTTTGAACTCACCGCAAAAGTTAACGTAATTCATGTCACCTAGAGAGCACTTTTTGAATCTCAGCACGCTGGTATTGGTAATGACGTGAGGAGGCATTAGCAAAGTCCACACGAGTAGGTAAATAACAAGGCAAGAGAACAAGATAACCAAACGGCCAGCCATCATGCCTTCCGTCACCTCAACTCGCCTTGGAGAACGGACACGGAAAGAAGCTGATACTCTGAGAGAAAGTAAAAGGTTTTAAAATGAAACAACAACACAACAACAAAATGCAAAAAGTGGAAATGCAGTCAGCTGCTCTATCAAATGAAAACGAACACGATCCGCTGCCGTCGTAACATGGAATAAAAATCTCGACCGGGAGAAGAAAAACCGGCAAAGAATTTAAAAGAATGTAGTTGAACTCGCAACGACCTCGTCAGGGAGCGACTTTACTATAAATCATCTCCTTTAACTTTATTTTATAATACAACGTAGTAAGCGAGCAAATTCCTAAGGATTAGGGTAATAAATAAGTAGAAGTATACTTGATGGAGAGTATTATTATGGCCTGTTCACAGACCCTATATTTTCTCTTATAGAGATCGTCGAGTGAGCGTATGAAAATAAAAACCGCGGTGGATTTTTAACCACTAGCGTAAAGGGGGTGGGACGCTCCGCGCTCGCCCACGCGCGTCCGCTTCGCTCGCGTGTGTTAGAAAAATATTGCGTCATTGTGGCGGGAAAACTCGTCACGTGATCTGAGAACTGAACTTTGTGCAAGAGTCTTGGAACTGTGTAGTCGTTCGGAGTCGTGGAGCTGATCGAGTGTGCAGATTGAGTGTAGATCATCGAATTTTTACGCGAATTGATGTCGATGAATCGTTTAAGGTGGCTGAACACAGTTTTAGCAGTTTGTGAGTAAATGTCATTCGCCAAATCATGGCAAGAGAAGGGTTGCAGCTCACAAGCTGAAACTTCGCAAGTGAAAAATATACTGATGAAAGATTTTCACTGACAGGTAAAATTTGACATTTTCGTAGTTTCCATGGCAACATGAACGATTGAATACTAACTTAAAATTTCACTTTCGCTCAGTTTACAGAAAATTCACTCATAAGATTTTCGTATAAACTTGCACATAGCTTACTATAATTAATCATTACCATTTGAAACTTATTTGACCAAATTTTAACATAGGGGTTTTTAGATAATCAGTAATATAATTGTACTGTAATTATTAAATGTGTCACAAAAATCTTCTGTTCAACTTTTATTTTAAAGTTCTCATTATCTAAGATACGATAAAAGTAAAAATTCCTCCAAATATCACAAAATTTTAATGAGTAGATTTTGAGAAATCGCCTTCTGTTTACCATTGCTTTTTCGCCGCCATGTTTGTTTGTCTACGTTAAAACACTTTCCGTCATGCGAGTTACCGCTGACCGCACGCAAAACTGTGTTCAGCCACCTTAAGTGTAGAACAGAGTACAGAATTCTAAAATATGAACATGCCAAGAAATATACTTTCAAGGGAGTGAAGAATTAAAGCTACAGAGAACTGACTGTATCACACATAATTTGTAACAGCGTGCTCGTCGATTTTCGGAACGAAAAGAAGACAACGTCATGTACAGGGTAGTGTTATTGTTATCATCATTACTGCCTTTGTTACTCTTTTTTTAAGAAGGGGTGTGTAAACACAACAATAGATTTTCCTTGTAGGAGTAACAGAAAAACATCAACGAAATTGTCGAGTGCATGAGCCTTACCTCCAAATTTTCAAAACAATGGTTCCATAAACAACAAAGAATCCACACTGGTACAACCAAATTTCTATCGTACAGGTCAAAGAGGAGGGCCCAACATAAGCTGCCGCCAACTAAGGCAGAAAGTTTGAATCATTGGTTTAAAAAAAAGAAAAAAAAAATTAATATGAGAGTAATGCAGAACGAAATAAGGAGAAAAACAGTGAAAGTCGCACGACTTACCGATGAATACATGAAAACAGAACCGACAAGAAGAATTTCCAGAAAAACAGGACTTGCCACATCAAATACCTGACCGAGAGAAGAATAACTAATGTAAAGATTTAGCCAAGGCCAAAAGCGAAGCTATTGAGGGATCTTTTAAGAAATTTCTTTCTGTAGTGATTCAGCTTTTGCCATAAGCAAGAAGCTAACTTAACTCCTCCTAAAAAAAAATGAACCTGAGCCTGCGATTAATTGAAAACATAACTGGTGAACGGAGAACCTTAAAAAAAATCACGTCCACACCTAAGCCCGCGATACAGTTATGTAACAATGGTTTGCGGATACCCTTTTTGGACCATTCTCAATTGACATAGATACCCAGGATTAAGATTAACAGATTGGATATTCCTTGGACCCCAAAGCGAAAGTGTGACATATCATATTCCGCTAACATACGGACGGACGTACGTTCATGCATAGGTAAACAAATTTTATTACCCATGGTGCTCTGGTATAATTATTCATTATTATGAAGTGATTTCTAAAAAGGCTTAATTGATAGACTGTGCTCGCAAAAGTAGCACAATATGCTACTAGAATTACTCGTATATTTATGCCAATAATTATGCTAGTTTTTGTAAATTATGCTCATTTTAGTGACAACTGCTGACATTATCCTTGTTTAGTTTAAATTTGGTTAAAACACCTCAATAACTATGCAGCAAAGAAGTAAATGGCAAACACATTTACCCTATTTATATCAAGAAACTTTAAGAATGCACAATTCTTTGTCAGACAGCTGTAAAAACTCAAACAATTAACAATCGGTAACAACTAGCACTCGGGCGCCATCTTGGGTAACCGAGCTAGTTATGTGCATGCGCCGAGTCCCGTAGAAAGAATCCTGGGTCACTTCCTGTGGGATCCAGGTCCCATGAATAAACAGACAATAAGCAGACAAAACAATGATTTTGTTACTTAAATTAGCCTGTAACATTAATCTCGGGCCAAACAAAGTGGTTGCTTGATCGATGAATGACAATTTTGTGCTGCAAAACTAAACAAAAGTGAAAATTATGTTAGCAGTGCTTTTTTCAGGAAACTGGTGAAAATTATGCTTGTGATGACCGAATTATGCCAAAAAATATGCTAGCACAATCTATCAAAGCCTATCTCTAAACATAAACAAAATCCTTTTTTAGTTGGGATATAATTAGCTAGCCAAACTAGGAAATATCACTGAAATACCTTGACCTGCCGTCTGAATTTAAAAACGAACGAACCGAGCAGCTATTACTTACTTTACTGTCCCGGAAGTAGAATACCATAACTCCGATCATAACAGCCATCATGGCAGCTAAGCCATTGACAGTGATAAGGACTATCCGAGGAATTATTTGTTCCTTGTAAATACAAGGGCTGCCGTCCGTACATTCCTCACAACCCTCGCTGCATGGAATGCAATGAAACTTGTCATTGTAGTCTGTCTGGAGTCCTTTCATCTTTTTGTCATACTCTTCTTCGATAATGCTGCCGTTGAAAGCTTTCAAGTTTGCGTTGATGTCTGGGAAATAGAATCCTGGTTTGCAGGTGCAACGATAACTACCTCGTTTGAATCCGTTATTGGGGATCGGTTCGCACTGAAACACAACAAAGAAAATTGCACCGCGTCCTTTTTGCATAGGTAATCATACCACTTCTAGCTCAATATGGGATTTAAATGCGGTGCGCCGGGCAAATTCTAGACTGTTCACAGTCCCCTATTTTTTCGTGAGATCGTTTAGATATACCGCGTCGTACCGTCACGGCTACATCTTGATTTTCAAATGTACCGAGGGGGGGGGGTGTCGGGGATTATAGCTCTGGTGGGGGGGGGGGACGAGAAAAATAGAGGGACTGTAATAACAACACTGCAGCTCGCGTTCACGGAGCGCGTTGTACCAGCAACGCAGGCCTTTGATTGGTCATTAGACAATGGATGTTTATTTGCGTTGACAACGGGTTTAGTTTAAGTTGCCGACACTGAAAAGTCGTTGACAAGTCGATATTTCCATAAAACGTACGCTTTCATACCACAAGGCACATCTTGCGCAAAAGCACGAAGGAATTTTGGTATTTTGATTAGAAAAATGTTTTCTTGTGTGTGTTTGCCGATTTTATTTCGAGGAATGGGCCTAAAAACATTATAAAATCACCGTTTCCCTAGGAGATATTTGTAGACACGCGTAATCGATGCTAAATGTGTCTGGCATGTTTTTCATCACCGGCGGAGTTTCTTAATTAATGAATGGTAAAAGGCGTGAAATTCCTGTCACGCCTCCTGAACGCGAGCTGCAGTGATGTTATTACAGTCCCTCTATTTTTCTCGCTTCCTCCCAAACCGCCCCCGCCCCCTAAGTAGTTTTGACACTCATCTAAGATGGCAGCCCGTAACGCAAAGCGCTCGATCTCGACGATCTTACGGAAAAATAGAGGACTGTGAACAGTCTAGGCAAATTCAAATTGAGCTTTTTCCACTGTTATCAAAGCTTTGTAGACGTTTTTTGTGTTATTTTTATCGTTATTTGAAAATGTAAACAGCATACGAAAACAAAGGCAGCAAAGGGTAATGAGGCCGAGGAAATCAATAAAATAATAATTCAAATGCAACGTAACAAGATTAAGGGCCTGTTTACATGGAGTGAGGGAGCCCGGTCTAGTGGGGTTGGTTTCTTCTGTTTTCACGCTCTGGAGGACACAAAACAAAAGAAACTTACCCCACTAGACCGGGGTCCTCCACTCCATGTAAACAGGGTCTAAGTATCACAACAGGCAAGAGGCAAACCAGCTGGGTATTTTACAAGCTTGGCCTAGGACTCGAACTCAGGATCTGAGGGTCCAGAGCTCTTATCACTCGGACACGCTACCTCCTGCATTATCAAACAATTCAAAGTACTTTGTAAGTGGCTGTTCTTCGGCTAGCTGCAAGTGAAGGGTAACGTCGTCGACACTCGAAACTGACTACAGTCGACTCCCGATAACTCAAACCTTCAAGGGAAATCGAAAAAGGTTCGAGTTATCGGGAGTTCGAGTTATCGGGAGCTCGAAGAAAATAGCCGGGAGTAAGGAAAAAACAGTTTTTACTGCACAGTGGGCATTTCAATCACACTTAATTGTAGAAATGTTGAGTGAAAATTGAAAGATATTTTTAGATTATTAATCAGAACGCAAAGTAACAAAACGTTGCCTAAATAGAGCATGCATTTTACTTTTTGAGAAGTAAAGCTATTTCACGTTAGATTTGTGGCAAACAACATCAGCCTCCACTATCGATCCACGAGTAAACTATATGCCTACAACACGTCAGTGGGAAATTCAAAATTCTACGTTTCGGACGCCAGTACACTGTTTTTTCTCGACTTTTTAAGAGCTCAAAACATGGTTCGAGTTATCGAGGGTAAGATTATATAGAAATGATCTGAGGGGAAACAAAAATTACTTCTAGTTAGCGGGAGTTTCGAGTTATCGAGGGTTCGAGTTACCGAGGGTAAAATCACAGTAAATGTATGACGTAAATCCAGGGGAAATCGATTTTGTTTCGAGTTAGCGTGAGGTTCGAGTTAGTGAGGGTTCGAGTTATCGGGAGTCAACTGTAATTGGAATTTGCGGTTGAAAGAAAACAAAAGAGAGAAACGAAGAAAGGACACCAATAAGCAAAAAACAGAAATATGCTGTCGTACTGCCATATCTATCCTGGGAAAATAGCCGACATTTCTTGACGCCACCACTAGTTTCCCCGCGAAACGACGTCTGAGAAACGAGCTTAGAAATTCCATACAGATGACGAATCACTGCCCAGATGTGGCTAGTGCATCTGATTGGTTGAAGCAAATTTCTTACTCTGTGCGACCAACCAGAAATACTACCTAGATCTGGGTAGTGACGGGTTATCAGTATGGCATTTCTGCGCTTGTTTCTTAGGCGTCATTTCGCAGGGAAACCATGCAGTAGTGGTGTCGCGGAATGTCCACGGCTGTTTTCTCAGGCTATGCCACATCTAGACAAGACCTGAAGAAGACTTTATTTTACAATGCATCTTGCTTAAAATGTAACCAAGATAATATGAAACAATCGTCATTTCTGGAGGGGATTTATTACCTTTGTCGACTTCTTGCACTTGTGAGTGCCCATAAACTCAAGAAGCTTCACCGAATCTGTGCTTCCTGTTCTGTCACTTTTCCCATTTTTCCCGTCACCAATTTCTTCCTTAGAATCTTGAGCATCGCACTGATTTATATCAATACTGCTCAGCTCAACGTCTATACTCACTACACCCCTGAAATAAGTAATAAATAAATAAATAAATAAATAAATAAACAAGTAAATCTAAAAAAAACATAAAGATTGAACGCGAAAAATTAGAAAGTAAAATGAAATTGGGAATCAAATTAAAGGCACCGAGGTTTGGTTCTGACATTTCCTGAAAAAAAAGAATGTGTATTACATCTAGGATGGTCAGGGAGAATTTAAAGAATTCCACATTACAAATCGTCTCCTATTTCCAGATGAGAGAAATGTACGGATGGTAGTGAAGGTGGTAGAAGTGGTAGTGGTAGTGGTAGTGGTAGTGGTAATAGTAATGGTATTGGTAGTGGTAGTAGTAGCAGTAGTGGTAGTTTGATTATCATTATCATCATTGAAACACAACACACAACAGTATTCAGTACCATGGGTATTTATGCCTCACCCCTTTTAAAAACTGAAATCGTCTTTCCATCTACTGAAACGTTTAGCTGTACTGAACGGAAATGGGGTATTGAAACAAGTTTTCGCAAGCAATCAGTGTGTTTGCTCAGAGGTCAAAGGTCTTGAAAGTAGAACGTAGTGCTCATCTACTGTTACAATGTTCAAAACCATCACAGAGATGATGGGATTTAAGTTTTATCGCTTTAAAGCTTTAAGCCGGACGATAATCTCGCTAATTGTAGCTAACCACAGACCAATCTAGTAAAAACGACTTTTCCTGATAACATTTGCTTGCACATTCATGTAACTTTCAAATACCGTATTCCTTGATCTATAACCCCCCTCCCCCTCACTTCCTAATATGTCCTCACCCCTATACCCACCTCAAAAGCTGCCTTTTAAAAAGTCCGCAGTATGGGGCGCAAAATAATAGATAAGCTTCCCGTCGTAAGGGTTCGCTGTGCGTAATTATAAAGCAGATGGGTTTCAGCATAAAAATACGCACGCTCTGTTGATTTTAAATCATATTCATTGGCGAAGACTCTTCGCAAATCAATATGACCTTGCTGTTAGTGTAATGCAATAATTGCTTTAAGGGCATTAAAACTCATCGAGAGAGCCTAATGGAAAATCCAAATAAAAGACGCGAGTGAAGGCATAGGTTGGAAACGGTAGAAAACGAGACAGGTAGAACTTAATTTTCCCATGATTCTTCAAGCTAGCAAGACGCTGATTTTGAAGGAGAAAATCAAACTCGGAACGCGTTTAAAAGCAGAAATAATTAGATTTGGAGGATTAAAAAGAGCGAAAAGAAAAGGAAATGTTGAAAAAAAATTTCTTAATGAGGGCAACCTGTTTTCCATGCCGTAACTGTAGAATAAATGGTATGGAAATAAGCGGGTTCACCGTACCCACTGATATTACCCCAGCGGGAACGAGGCAATAATAGCAATGTCAAAAACCAATCTAAAATATTATTTATGAAAACAGAAGGCGACTGCCACCCTCAAATACTTCTTCTTCTATTTGATAGTAAAGATCCAGAAAGTGAAAACTTCCCACTTTCCTCTTTCTTTCTTTCTTTTTCTTTTTCCTTTTCTTTTGTTTTCTGGACTATGAAAATTCAATTCGCTCTTTCGTACCGCTCGTTTTCTGCCTACGGCCAAATGTAGGTAGTTAGTTAGAGTCCGCCATGTTATCAAGTTTCTGTGCCCGTTCGATGACCAATTATAAGTCATATACCTTCCCAGGATTTCCTAGATAAGCTGGCTTTATCTAATATCCTGACTTAACTAAGAAAACCGAATCGACAGGGAAATATGGTCCCGATCTCTCCTCACACGGTAGTATTGATGACTGTATTCCAGTGGTGATTCATACCAGTAAAACCATGTTTCAGCCGCAAAATTGGGCTCTAATATAGAAATAAACGCGTTTTAACTTGATACGATTAAAATGAAACAGCGCTGCCTAGATAATGAACAGAGGAAAAAAAATTAAAATAAATGCGTAGGAAAAAAAGAAAAATTAGCTTTGATCTTCTTTTGACAAAGTAAACCAAAACCTCTTAGGCCTGTCGCTATTGAACAAGTATGTCTTAGCAGCTGTAAGATAATGAGACAGCTTTTGAGGATTTAAAGACTGCAACATGCATTGCCGTTCGTTCTTGTTAACGATGGTTTCAATCAACTGTTTGCTCAAATACTGGGTTATAAATTGCTGTTGGACACGCTTACACTTATACCGATCATAACGGGTTATTTTTTTAATAAGCCTGTTATATAAAATATGTCCAACTTCTCACTGAAATTTGCTTAACATTTTACCTTAATTTACCCCACGGCATGTTAACTTTTCAAATTATTTTCTATAGAACCATTATTTTCAATGAAATTTTTAAACTTTAATGGTCTGGTCAAACTTCTGTGGACAGATTTGCATCGCAAACACGTAATTCCGCATCAATCATTTCCCACACACTCACCACCAAAAGCTAAAGATTATAAATATACTAATCTTTTCAACGATTATACGTGCCAAAAGCCATGTAAAAGTTATATGAACCGTAATTATTTTCTTTCGGTTTTCATCTATTGTATTCATTTTTATGGCGCTACCTCAAAATTTACATTCTTAAATGAAAATGATTTATGATGTTTCGGTATTTACCAAATCTTCAAGTTCAAGATACTTCGGAAAATTATATTGCTCAAGAGGAAAACAACCGCACAATATCAACTATCTTGCCTTCCATAAAGAAAAACGCACAACTCCTTTTTTTTTTCATTTCTAAATAAATTTGTACTAGCTTTGATTGCCGTCTCCAATGCAACAGATTCATAAATAAATGATAAGTCTTTTCGAACAATCAGTCTGCTCTATACTTCCAGCGCTTAAATGAGGCGAATAACTACTATGTAATACGTAACTACATGTATAACGCAATAGCAAGCACGTCATGACAAGTTAACATACAAGGAAAGAAACAAATACTCACAGAAATTGATTTGACTCGTTAAAAAACGGCGCTAAAAATGTGATCATCCAGATTTCTCCGCCAAAACAATCGAAGTAGGGACGAGTCCAGAAACCATCAGCATCGTATTCTACGACTGGTACCGAAACGTTACGGCGAGACTCTGCGGTAGTTTGGTTATGTCGAACAGTGTATATATCAGTATCCTTGCGGAGCTTCGATGATCGCCTTAAATTTATTTCTCGTGGCTCCCGCCACCAAATGGTTTCTGGACTTGTTAAATAATTATGACCGACGGAAATGTCTTTAACATGGACAGCACCACCATAATTTTTGTCCCTGAACGCATACGGGCAAAACATCACGTAGTCCCTGTACTGGTTTTTTTCAAAGCAAATGACGGAGCCGAAAACGGAAGGCGAAAAAAGAACGTTCGATCGAACGAGATTATAAAGAAAAGTGTCATTCTCCGCCATGGAGGAGTCATTCGCGTTTCTTACTCGCCATAATGAAGTCAAGAGATTTGCTACTTTTACGGCAAGCAGGGCTTCGCTCTTCCATCGAGCATGCTGAAAAGCGATATCGAGGATAACAGATTGATTAGGCGTACAATTCAAACTCTTCGACATTTGCCTCTGAATCTTCTCCACATATTGAAGCGCTGTTAACAATTTTTGCCTTTGAGTATCGTCAGGCTTTCTCTGTGAACGTGAAGAATTGTCCATCATCCCGGCTCCATCGGCTTCAACCGAATAAATGCTACGATAAGGTCCCAACAAAAACAGATCAAAATCGTTTAGCAAGTAATAAAACAGTAACCAGAAATGAAGCCTGTCAGTCCTCATATTTTTGCGTGTTTAAGAATAGTTTTAGACCACTGAATCATATGAATTCAAAGACGAATTGAAACGGAAACCTTCAGTCAGTTGATGGTCATTGGGTCAAACAGTTCAATCTGAAATTATACTTGTCAATTTCGTAACGCTATCCATGGTCACGCTTGGATCAAACGAATTCGAGGGGACTTGTGTCTGTACCCCAGACATAAACAAATCTTACACTGTCTTCCTTACAACCTTTTAGCATATCATATTTCCTGTTCTTTAAAAGTACAAAAGAGGACTGCTTAAATATTCATCTTTGTTTTGAAATACAAAGAAACGACTGCAAGTAAGCTGTTGACAGTAATTAAGGCTATTTCGCAAGACGTCGTAACCGGAAATACAGGAAGTAGTACGTAAGGCTGCCCTGAAGCACTTTACGTTTTCTGTATTATTTAATGAATAATAACATGAATAAGAAGGGAGGTCTCTGCTAGCTATCTCACATTCGAAAGCAAACAACAAATGTACACATTATCCACAGTGGATTTTTGTCGGCATTGTTTTCTTAGTATCGTCACAGTGTATTTTTCATTGTTTTTAAAATGGCATTTTTAATACGTGTAAACAAACTGGCATTTGTTAAAAAAAAAAAAAAAAAAAAAAAAAACACTTTCAGCCAGAGATCTATCGTATGTTTAGAGAACCCTCCTGTTTGTTTTGTTTTCCTCGATAATGAAATTTTGCGATAAAATGTCAACTTGAAAGCACTTTCTTCGCAGGTTTTGTCATTTAAGCGCTAATGGTTCGCGACATGACAATCGACTCCCGATAACTTGAACCTTCTATGGAAATCGAAAAAAGTTCGATTTAGCCGGACTTCGAAGCAAATAACCGGAAATTAGGAAATAATGAAATGGGATGGAGAAGAATTGCACGGTAAGGTGCACCCTTCAAATCTTGATAAATACACAGGACTGGACATTAAATTGGATTGACAATTTAATTCAAGACAAAGAATACATTGTCCAGTCGTTTGAAATTAGTTCAATGTTTCGAACTGCAGTTTACTTTTTTTCCGACTTGCCAGGCGCTTAAAGCATGGTGCGAGATATCGAGGGTAAATTTTTATAGGAATCATCTTAATTAAAGGAAATTAACATGATTACTTCGAGTTAGCGAGACGTTCGAGTTATCGAGGGTTCGAGTTCGCGAGGGTAAAATTATAGTAAATATTTGACGGAAATCCAGGGGAAATAGATTTTGGTTCGAGTTAGCTAGGGTTCGAGATATCGGGAGTCGACGTTACTGCATTTTCTTGTGAAGGACAAATCACCGACAAGGGAGCGCAATTTCCTTTTTTTTTTCCCTTTTTTTCACAAACTATGGCGTATTCAAGTCGATCAAGGTTAGATGTTGGCCTTTTGACATGACAACACACAGGGCAGCTGACAGGACCGGAAAATTTATATGAGCTTCAGTAAGTCGAGTCTCACGATGGAGTCGGCTAAGGTTGAGGGAAAAGAAACCTGTAAATAAATTTTTCAACCGCTGCAATCACTAATAATTTTCCGAATAAGGTATATTGAAATAAATATTCGTTTTCAACTCCTCATTCAGCGAAGGGTATGCCAATGGGCATGTGCCGCTGTAATATGATTTTTTTCTCTAGGATAGGGTATATAAATAAGCGTTTGGGTCTAGTATATTTTTGAAACTGAAGTTGGTTGAAATTTTATCTATAAACATTCTAGGATAATTTATTCGGGTAGCAAAATTCAGCTGAACCTCATTCAGCACATCCCCACCCAGAAGTGCCCCGGGGGGTATGCAGGGGCACCCAACGGCAATTTTCGGGAAAATATCTGTTCGGAAGACGATTTGAGATCTAGAATTTTCGGAGCATTTGTTGTAAAATTTCTTGCTTGCCTGCCTCTCCTAGGATTTTCGAACGTCTACAAGATGGTATAATTACCCATTTTTAACGGATTTTGACCCTAAAAAAGTCCACCTAGAATTTTCGGGAGCCTTTTCCTGGCTGAAAGTTTCTAGAAGATAAGTTTTTATCCCTATAATTTTCGGATCACTAGACTTTCAGCTAGGAAATCCGAACAGATGAAAAGTTTTTAGGGGATAAAAATATGCCTATATCTACCGTTCGAATACTAAAATACGCTCAACAATGCTTTGTTAAGTAGTTTTGAACTATATCGTCGTTGGGTGCCCCTGGGTATGTTCTGTTCGGGGAACCTGATTTCATTTGAGGGTAGTAAATCCATGGACTGAGTCAATTTCGTTCCGTGTATGATTTTGGGCATTTAGGCAGTAATTCTGGCATGACAAAGGAAGCCTTTGTTGTGAAGTGCTATTTTACTCCCTCCTCTGCAAACCCTCTTCCTGGTAAATCATGCATCAATTTATCTTGGGGTCAGTCATGTCACGTGCCAATACTAG